AAATGTTCCTGTCATTGTAGATGCTTGAGTCATAAAGAATGAGCAGGAGTTTGCCACCCGGACCTTGTAGGCCATAGGCTTCGTCCTGTGGTTAATAGGAAGCTATCTGACTTTTTCCTAGCAGAAGAGTAAAACAGATTTTTATTTATAAAGGTACCCATATGAGTACTGTAGAAAATAAAAAGGAGAGATGTTGGAAATGGGTGTGAGAGCAGTTAGGTGAGTCTTAGTAAGTGGACAATTGGAAGTGCGGGCAGTTTGAATAGAGAAGAGAGGACGAATTTGAGAGAATATGCAGAAAGTAGATTGGCTGCATTTGACGGTTCATAGGACATGGGGATTGAAAACCGGATAACACCGAGGCCCCTAGTTTAGTGATTGTGCCGCTGCAGGATCATGTCCTGATTTCAGGCAGCTTCTTCGTTAACCCTGCAGCAGCCTTGTTAGGAACTACTGTTGTATTTCAGTCAACAAACATGGAAACTGAGGCTGGCAGTGCTTCTATAATCTGCCCACAGTCAGTGGTATGGAGCCGTTCTGGCAGAGGAAGGAATGGAGCTCAGATTCAATTCAAGCCTCACCCTTGAGTCTGGCTTGGAGGGGCCTCTGCTGAGTCATTTCACACTGTTGAGGGTTAGGTGCCCGTGTTTCAGGAAGAAAATGGGTCCAGAGTTAGATCAGCCTTAAGCATTTGGTAAACAGCCACCCCTGGCTTCCTTGCACAGTCCAGACACTTTAGAGATTTTTCTGATGGGAATTATTTCAGATTGCTTTGCTGTCTGCTGGTAGCTTCTTGAAAGCAGTATAATTCAGTAAATATTTATCTAGTGCCTACTTTATGCTACAAAACTGAAAACAGCTACGTAGGTGATCTAAAGATAGGTAAAGAGTAATTTTTGCTCATAAACTTACGTCGTGTAAGCCTCATGGAGATCTTTTCTATAGGGATGGGAAAAAATATATTTAAAAAAGCTATAATTCAAATGAGATAAAGTACCATAAGAAACAAAGTCTCTGGTTTCACCAGAGGACTGTGATTCCACCTTATCGGCCTCCGGGGCTTCCAGGGGACTTGCAATAGGCACTTAATAAACACTAGTTGACTCATTGACAGTGCACAGGGAGAGCTCAGATAACATATCATCTAAGTAAACACCACACTGTCACAATCCTATTAAGAATCTCCCCGGAGATTTTATAGCACTCTTTTTTTTCCGTTTGTCACTCTGCAAAGTCAGGAAGCATCCTTCCTCTGTCGGGACACCTACTTTTCAAACTCCTTCCTTTGGTGTAACGGCTTTGCTAGGTAAGTCTATACCTTACTGAGGTCAATCTCCTTCCCTGGAAAGCCATACTGGCCACTAGGACCAATTGGGCCAGATCTAATACATCTTTCACCTGACAATGGGCCTCAAAGCATCTGCTGTCCTCCCTGGGCTTAGCACTGGCCAGTTATTCCTCACTTAAGTGACTGCCAGGGCCACAGTGAGCCAGTGCCTCTGTTCTGGTCCCTGTGGCTTGGCAGTGTGTCCCTCTTGATGGCTGACGGTTGCAGTTAACCCACAGATGAGGTAGATTCCCAGGTGTGAAGTCTGGGAGGACACTGTCCTTCCCCTCTCTCTTCCTCAGTGTCCTCAACTGTTAAAAGTCCCCTCTGGTTCTAATATCCCCTGGCTCTGGATGGCTTACTTTTCATCCAAGTCTCTGCTGAAATGTTACTTCCTCAGAGAGGCCGTCTTTGACCAGTCAGCCTAGAAGGGCTCCTTCTCCCCCAACCCACCCCTCTCCGTAATTCCCCTCCGGCCTGTTAGGCAGTGTTGTTTTCTTTATAGTGCTCATTGCTCTCTGGAATCATTATATTAATTGCATTTCCTTGTTTACTTGTTCATCATCTCTCTAACCCATGAGCACAGGCTCTACAAGCTCAGGATCTGCACACATCTTGTTTGCTGGTGTGTCGGCAGCAGCTCAGGCAGGGCTGGCACAGAGTAATGCCCAGTCAACAGTTGTCTAATCAGCCATCGAGCTCTACGATCCCGCCGTGCTTGCTCTTTGAAAAGTTTCTGTTGTCACTGCCTCCTTGGTGGGTAGTGCTGCTTATTACGTCACTAGAAACTAGGTTATAAAAGATTTCTTTGATCCAAACTTTAGGGAGGTTGCAGCCCATATGTTTAGCAGACAGAGCTGGCAGGACCGCCAAAGCAGTTTTTAAAACCAAATTTGTCATAAGAACAGGAATATCTTTGAGCTTGAATCATTTAAGTACCTTGTTTTGTTAATGTGGTAAGTAGACCTAGAAAGGCCTTTTGAATTTTTAAGATCCTTTGAGAAGACGGTACATATGACTTGAGACAGTTAGATGGAAAGTATATAAAAATTCAAGGTTGTTGCTGATGGACGAGTGAAAAGTTGGGTAGTTTTTTAGAAACTTTTGCTCCTGCTGTAGTATTCTGCTTTTGGTTTTCAGTTTTATCCTTGTTATCACTAACAAACAAAATCAATAGTGACCTCAGTTCAGAAGATAGAGTGATTATTCAGTTTGGCCCATTAGTTCATCAGTATTTAATGAGCACTTAACATGTGTACCATAAAATGTATGAAGAGATGGTTGATTTTTCTCCTTTAGGGTTTGATACTTCCCAGCTTGGCTTCCATGCTAAGGACACTGCCCGTCACTTCTTTTTTCTTCCAGCCCGTGTTTCTCGCCTGTCTGGTTCACTCGGTGAACTCACCGTCTGCATCTTCGTTGCTCAGGCCTGTGTAGCCCTCTGCAGTCCCGATTATTCCATTGACTTTAGGATTCCTCCACCGATGCTGCTCCTTCCAAAAAACGTGCCTAGAAGCCTAAGTTATATGACTTTGGCAGGTGTGTGTTTGTCGAAAGGCTCATGGGTTTTAATCATCTTATTTGGACACAGCTTGTGAATATGTCCAGTCACATATACCAAATAGTAATATTTTCTTGTCAGATTTTCTTCATAACTTCTGCATGTCTTTCTAATGCTGTTTCCTTCTTACCTGCTATAAACTACCACTTTCCAGAACTGAAATACGGCTTTGAACTTACTCCTCCTCCAGGTACTTTTGACAAATTAGTTGGCCTCTAATATTGTGCATTCTTTCATTTGAAATGTAAGTTCAAAGAAGCAGGTTTGGGGGGCAGGGCTGTACTTACTGCCTTTGTCCAGTATGTCGCACCAGCCTTCCCTGCACCTGGCAAACCCCATTTCCCACCATGACAATGGGAATCAGTACTTTTATTTTTTTAACCCACACATCTTACTACTTTCCACCTTGGCCTTTCCTCCTCTGTGTTTCTCATCACATAGAGAGACTGCCTTCCTCTTTGCTCCTCTGCTCTGACACCTTAGTAAGTATAATAATTAGTTTTTAAAACAGCATGTAAAATGGCCAGCTATTCATAATTTATTTGATGCCGCCTGGAAATTCTGCTTGACAAATTTTATTTCTCTCTGATTTCTTCCATTACTTATGTTTTATCACTTCATTGTATGTGTGTTCCTATAATCAGTATATTATTTTTGACTCCTCTCTTTTCCTCACTTTTTGCCAACAACTCACCTGCATACTCTGGTGCCCCAATCTGTAAAACACATCCCAGGTCTCTCTGTTGTTTTCCATCTCCTCTACAAACTTTAAGCCACCACCATCTCTACCTTGGACGACTGCAGTAGCCTTCATCTGATCTTTTTGCTTTTATAAAGATGAAGTTGTTTCTTATTTCAGCAATTTCCCTGAAATCCGTTTTCTGCACCATATACAAAGTTACTCTTAAAAAAACATGGATCATATCATGGCCCTGCTGGGATTAAAGGGCTTTCCATCACACTCAGAACATAATCCAAACTCCTTAATATCGTCACAAAGCTCTGTGTAGTCTACACTTTACCTTTCACTCTCCCTCTCTCCCACTCTCTTCTCTGATGCTCTTTCCTTTTTTTAATACCCCAAGCTTAGTGCCACCCCAGGGCCTTCGCACCAGCCATTTCTCTCCCCAGAATGCTCTTTGCCATACATTTGCTTCACTGGCTTCCTGTTGTCATTCAGATCTCAGCATAAATGTCATTTCCTCCAAGAAATCACACACTCTTTCACACAAGCCTATTTTAATTTTTTGCATAGCTACCAGCTAACAGTGTTTTCTTATTTGTGTATCTGTTTATGTGTTGTCTCTCACTCCCACTAGAATGTCTACCTCATGAGGTCATCGCTGTCACTAGAAGAGAGCCTGGCATGTAGCAGGGACTCATTACACAGATGTCGAAGAAAAAAATAATGAATGAATGAATATACTGACATTATTGAATTCTGCTACCTGGATATATAAGTTTTGTCTTTATAAGTAGATTATAAATTCCTAAGATATTTCTTCTGAGCCCTCATATCACCCGGTTCAGTTTAAAGTATGGAGTCGATTCTTGGCAAACTCATATTCTCTTGATTTTAGCTCTTTGGGCCATATTTAGTTCTTGGTATCCTAAGTAATCTATGGAGTAGTTCAATTCTTGGCTAACATGACTATAAAAATCTAATATTTAGGTGCTCCATACAGCGAGGAATCAGTATTTGTTTGTTGACCATGACAATTCATGCCTCCCCTTCCAGGGCGGCGTGTGCTGTTGCTGAATGCTATGGCATGCTGCCATGCTCCATCGTAGCTAAATTTCAGTAGAGAATGAGGTGTGCAGTTTGTAAACTGCTTTGGGGAACATTGCACAGGAAGTCATTTTCATTTTGTGGCAGATCAACAGGAAATAAGGCTTAGTTGCCGAACCAAAGCAAGAAAAGCAACCAAGCATATTACTCTTCCCTTAGGGGCTTTCATTATTCCAGCAATCATCAGTTTCTCCTAAGATAGAGGAAGTTATCCCAGCTATGTCACTTGTCACATGACATTTTGATAGGAAGAAGGTATTCAGTATTTTGTGCCCGTTTTTCTTTGCGTTATTTTATACGTTGTTTTTGATATCTTCTGTCAGATGCACCTATCAGGTGCATTTTGAGAAATCTACTCCTTCCTTTAGTACAATGGGTCTGGCTTTCTGGATTAAAGACCATGCCTATCTGTGGTGCATTTGTTTGGCCATTGCTGTTATTCGTTGTTCTTTTGGCAGTAGTGATGATGGGAGTACAAGGTACTTACTTTAAAGTCTGATCCTCTTTTAAGTGATCTTCTTCTGTAGGGTTGGCCACCCTTTAAAACAGAATGCCCTAACCTCAGCCCTGCCGTGAACTATGCACCATGAGGGTCAGAGGGAGTGGATGAAAGAATGGAAAGTTTATCTAACTCCTTGGCATGTTTTAATTTCACATTTTTTATATTAATTTAATGTCCTTCCAGAATGAAAGTTGGCAGCCATTTAGGGAAGTGCTAGAGAAGGCTGGAGTCATTGCAGTTGAAATGCATGCGAAAATCCCTAATCCAAAGATTATTGACATAATGAACTTGAAAACCCTTAATAATCACGCTATTATATACTGACAACCTGCATTTAGAGAGCTTTAGCACATGGGTTCTGTGCATCATGTCAGCTCTCCTTTGTTGGGCTAGGTAGAAGTTGGCATATTTCAGCTGAACTCCAGTTAACTGCAGAATGAGGGCTCGCCAAGCCCGAGCCAGAAACCCCTCCTTAGGGCAGACCCCGAGCCCTTTACTTCTACCTATTTTATTTCTCCCTTTTCAAATACGGAAAGATCAGACGACGATATGCTATATTTCTCTCAAATTTTTAACTGTATCAGGATTTTTGGATTTTTAAGAGCATCCAACTAACTTTAGTCAACATTTTCAATGTTTGCAAAAGACAACAAAATAAAATGACTTTTGGGAATCCAGCTTTATTTATTGCTACATTTTTGCCTAGAGGGATTCTGTTTATCCAAGCCGGCAAATGGTGGGCATTCCAACGCTACAGTGCACAGAGCCCCTGCTTGCTTGCTGCTCAGCGAGTCACGGCAAACACAGACCCTGCCTGCTACCAAAGCTACATTTTGTTCTTTGCAGGTAGATCAAATTCTTCAGATTTATTATCAGATGTGGCATGGATGACCCAAACAAAAACAAACACCCTCGAGTTTAAAATTAGAAGTTCTGAAGACTAAATATTTGCACTTAAAAAGCAAAAGAAAGTAGCAGAAATCTCTGTGGCAGACCATTCCTTGAAATTATTCTCACTAAATTATAATCATGCACTTTCCACTCTCTGTATTTAAACATTGGATTTCATTTATTCCAGATGCATTTGCTTCAAGTAAATCAGAATTCCCATCCTTCTTTTTGGTCATTGTGAATTTATTTCAGTTTTGTGGCCTACATATGATCAGGCACATTGGATAGTTTTTAAGTGAATCTTAATGATACTGTGGGTTTTTTTTTTTTATAAATTGTATACTTTGTGTTGTATTTATACAGATGAATCTGATTTTAAGTTTTATAATATGTAATGTCCGTAAGAGCTTTGACAAATATGCTCATGTTTCTGCAAGTAACTTACAGGACCTTGGTTGTTGGTGGTAGAGGGATGGAGGAATTTGCTTTGACGTATTATCACAGGTAGGTAGAACTGTTGGCTGCTGTTCTGAGGAGCCCACAGTACTGAGAAAGGTCATCATGCCTTCGTTTATATCATACCTTCTATTCAGAGAGCCTTGCACAGTTATATGAAAACCCAAAGGAACCTTTTATTTACTAGATTTGCAAATTCCTTGCATTGGTGAGCTAGTATAACTAAACAGCAGTCTATAAATATTAAGGGCAAGCTTTCTAGTGGTTCGACATGTTTCCTTACCCTTAAGACAGGATTCTCAATTGTTATTCGTGGTTAAATCCGTTTAACGTGTTTTTAAGTAGTAAAAAATTAACCAGACTTATTTACTTATTATCATTATTTATACAATTTCAAATAATAAATGTTTATGTTCGCTAAGTGAACCTGCGGTTTAACCAAGATTGGTAAATTGACTAGTTGATCATATGTAATTGCAGATAAATTTTGCAAAATGACAGTGGTGAAACTGCTGCAGATATCCTGGGGCAAGTTTAATTTGCTTTTATGTATACTGTGCTTTTTGTGGTTATCCTGGGTATTTAATTGATACAATGACAAATTATTTAAGCTCCTTTTAATTTTTTGTTTTGCTTACCATTGGCCATTTTACAATTCACAAGCATTTCCACAGGTTTGTGGGAGAAGGATATGCCATGTCAGTTTGACCATTTAACTACACTAAAGGCTCCTCCATAGAATAAGAAGTTGAAATCGATGCTGAAAATTATGTCTTAGAATTATTTGTACATTTTTAGTTATCCATCGTTTGCTCTACTCCCGACTCCTTGCAGAACAATGCAAATGCTTTATATCTATTCATTGGCATTTCTTTTAAAACTGAAGGAGTTGAGGTGGAGAAATAGCTCCCATCATGAAAGTCCTCAAATATTAAAAAGAAAACCATTCTCCGCATATGTATCTTAAGCTGTAGTGCTTACCTGCTTACCAGAGAGGGGGCAGCAAACATTCTATTTTTATATTTAAATGACTCTTCTTTGGGGACTACTACTCATTTACCTTTACTCCAACATCAACTAATTGGATTCATAATGTTTCTAAATATTTTGACCGAAAAAATATGTGTGTATGTATGTATACATATGCTATATAAACTAATTATATTTATTTACTTTGCAGTACCCAAACTCATCTCTACCTTTGTAAGTAGAGAACACACTAATAATCTCTAATTATATTTTAGAAATAATTTCTCCTTTTAATCTAGGACACATTGACATTCCAAAGAATAAAACTGTCTCATGTCACAATAATCTATTTTCCAAAGATTGAGGTGTATCAAATTATTAGGTCATTTTTCTTTTCTCATTTCAGTTTTGGGAGGATCTTAGGGCATGCGCCAATATGAAGAAGGCTTTTGACAACATGAACAATATCCGAGTTTTAGATTAGTGTCTGTGTGCTTGATTCATCAGAACATTTCAATCGAAACAAAGTTAATCTCCTCAGTAATAGGATAATACCACCTAGTTTTTCTGGGTTGTGAATAATTGTGCAACCAAATTGATTGATCTGCATAGTAAAATAAATATATTTGGAATTACCCTAGCAACTTGCTACTTGTGTTTGAACTAGAGCCTCAATACAGGAAAGATAGTAAGATTTCTTGCTGTACAGACACATTTCTTACATTACCCACCAGATGGCCATGAAAAAAGAAATAGTGCTGAAAGTGAAATTTGGATTAATGTTATTTAATTTGAACATTAAACCTACATAAGCTCTGGATACCTAGAAATAACAAAAAGAAATGAGAGGAAAAGTTATGCCATTAGAGGGCACTTTTGTAATCTTAGAGAGAAGTTTGTTCTTATAAACTGACTTAACCAAGACTTATGTTTAAGAATGAATTTTCACATGTTTATTTAAAGTGAGTAATTCTTAAACTAAATGTCTGAGAGAGAATATTTTATGGTAGGGGAAAAAAAATCTATAAAATCTTAGAACTACCATTTAAACAATGTTTATGTAAAGGTTCAATTTTTGATCAGTGAATATAAGTTGTAAAAATATACACAATGTATCTGCACAATAGTTTTTTGATTAGCTATATTCATTGCCTATTTTAAATACATTGTGTTAAAAAAATTCTGCCTGTAACCTCATCAAATTGAACAAATGATTAATGCTTCCTAATATCCAAGTTTTTCCCCAATAGTACTTGAATATTATTATTAATAGGGAACATACTGAAAACCATAATCTGACAATATAAATTCTTGCATTTTGGGTCATACTAATTTTAAACACTTTTCTGAAAAATGTCTGTTTTGTCCATAATTGGCGTGGCAATTAAGATAGTTAAAACTGTTTCAGAAACAAAAAATGTGACCTGATAGAATTGTAGTTGGGGAAATACGATATTTTGATAAAGCAAAAGATAAAGTTGAGTCTGTTCTCTATTGGTGGTAATCTAAATTAAAATGTCTACCTGAGCCAATAAAGTAGGTAAACCAGTAAAATATGTAAGTAAAAGCTTAGTGTCAAGAACTTTGAAGAGTTTGAGATTTTATCCCACTTGCAAGCTAACAAAATGTCTGCCATAGTTTCATGGATGCCGGAAGAATGAACGCTACTCCTGGGCCAGAGACTATGAACTTTATTACTTAGAGCAATAGCAGTAGGCACAGTGCCATCATTTTCTTTCACTAGCTCCCTGACTCCCCTGCGCCCCCCGCCCAATTCCCATAAGATGATGCAAAGAGGCCAGATGGCACCAGCCCATGCAGTGGGTTTTGTTGCAGGAGAGAAGCTCTGAGTTTAGGGAACCCAGATCTTTTTTTAATGGATAGCAGTCATGCCTGCCCTTTGCTCTGAGGCTGTGCCTTCCAAGGCTGTTCACTATACAAACATCCTGGAAAAGATAATGTGGAACAAGGGCACTCGGTACTTCTGCTCCCAAGATAGGCAAAAACAAACATAGAGACGCGTGGAGAATTATCTCCTAACACTTACTCTGCATAGTCCTGTAATTTGAAATGTTTGCTAATATTAAATTGCTAAGTACCTGATGTAGAGAATGTATAATAATCAGATTTACCATATTTTAAGTCGCCCATAGTACATAGTTTATATTTTTTACATCATATGGTATTTACTATGTGACCTTACCTTTCTAAGCCTTGATTTGATTATTTTTAAAATGAGAAAAATATAGCACCTACATCACAGGGTTGTTGCCGGTATGACATGAGATTTTATAGATATATATAAAACACTTAGAAGAGTGCCTGGCATGCAGCATGTGCACAATAAAGTTTATTTATATTGTTATATCAAAATTCATCTTTTATAATTAGCTGATTTAATAAAGACATATTTTTTTCCCCAAAGCAGCTGAGGGTGCTGGGAAAATTCCTACCAATCATGACTAGCTATTTCTCTGACTCTGGGGCTGACCTACATATCTCAGGTATCCTGAGGCATTGGCCGCTTGTCCGGCTAAGTTGCACAGTGGCACAGCTGCAGTTGGCAACTCTGTGGGCAAACCCGGGCCTCATGAGGCGAGCCTGCCCTCGAGCGACGTCTCTGGGGCAGATGTGCCTGAGTGCCGCACACTCGCGTGCTCC